CTTCACAGATGCTGCCAGACCCGCTGAGCTTTTCCAGCAACTTCTGTTTTTGTTCCTGATTTACAGCATCCGCAGTTCTTTCGTTTTTATTCCATCTAGAAGGATAAGGGCAGCAGATACATGGGAACACCACCCCCTGCAAGTTCCCCTCCAAGACACTCACTATCCTGACTTGGAAATATATCACCGTTCCTTTAGTGTCACTGGGTCAAAATCCTGGAATTCTCTCTGGAAGGGCATTGTGGGTCAACCCACAGCAGGAGGACTGCAGCGGTTCAAGAAGGCAGCTTCTCAAGGACAACTAGAGACAGGCAATAAATGCTGCCCATTCAGTGATGCTCACGTTCCACAAGTGAATGGAGTTTTTTTTTCATATTCTCTTGTTAAGAAGGCATGTGGAATAAAACACTGATTCATTCACAACTGGAGTACTATATGCGATTCTAGTCATTACATTATAGGAGGATGGGATTATAGTGGAGAGGGTACAGAGGAGATTTTGCAGGATGCTGCCTAGCTAGAGGGTCTAAGCTAGGAGGGAAGACAGGATAGTCTGAGGTTAAGAGAGGATCTAATAGAGGTAAGTAAGATTATGAGGGGCATAGAAAGGGTGGATAGGAAGGCATTTCCATTAACACAGGGGTCAATAACCAGGAGAAATAGTTTAAAGGTAAGAGGTAGAAAGCTAAGAGGAGATTTGAGGAGAAACTCTTTCAGCCAGAAGGTGGTGGGAGTGTGAAACTCTTGTCTGAAAGGGTGGTTGGGTCAGAAACTCTCATTATATTTGAGCAGTATTTAGGTCCAACAGTCTACAAAAATCTGCGCAACATTTGGAGGAAGGTGTAGCGTTACACTGAATAAACACTGAATAAAATTTGTTACTGATAGCACCAGATAATGTTAACAACAGTTGGAACTACTTTAATTATTTGCCTACAATGTGAATGTGTGAAGCCTATCATATGTTACAAGTTCATTCACACTTCTTTATATCTGCATAAATAAATATATACACCTTGCTGATTGTGTGTGTGTGGGGGTAGGGGAGTTAGTCCCTTGCAATGATGACTCTTGACCATGGCAAGAACCTGCAAATAGAGTCTGAGCAGGAAACTCTCCTGCTCTTCCCATTTGCTCCAAGTGTATCAGAAGGATTTACAGATTGGTAATCAGTTTGGCCACATTATGACACATTTTCTGCGGTCATTAATTTCTGAGGTGGAACTTGAACCTGGAGCTTCTGGCTCAGAGCTAGGGACACTAACATGGCACCACAAGAGCCTCCTATTTTGATTAAATCTTGAGTGTGAGAAACACTGTCACATCTAATAATATTATAGACTCGTACAAGGAGGTGACCACAACTGGATGTTGAGTAGCTCTATCTGGTTGTGATGTGTCTTTTTGAATTCCTGCACAGAAGAATACAATGATGGTTATCAGCAATATTTCTTTACAAAAACAAAAACAGAAATTGCTGGAAAAACACAGCAGGTCTGGCAGCATCTGTGGAGAGAAAGCAGAGTAAAATGTTTTCGTTCAATGACCCTTCTTCAGTTGTGTTTTTTTAACTTTAATTTTCAACTTTTCAATCACACATGGTTGGGAATTGTTTTAAATTTAGCTGTTTTTTTTTTCTGTTTGGAGCAGGTGCCTTGCCAGAGTTTCACAGAATCATGCAATCTGAAAGTGCGGAGTAACACTTGCTATTGCTGTGACTTGTACAATTGTGCAAAGTAAGTATTTTGCCTTTCTATATAATACAGATGGGTTGTATTTATTTCTATAGAGTGAGAGAGAAGAGGCATATGTGAATGGGAAAGAGATGACTACACACTAACCAAAGGCAACAATGCATAACCATCCTAAAGACAGAAAAAGTCAATTTCAGACAAAAAATGTCTTCCCACAATTTAAATTGCTAATCACAGAATCCCTATGGTGTGGAAAGCAGTCCATTCGGTCCATTAATTCCACACCGACTCTGTGAAGAGCATTCCACCCATATCTACCACAGTGCCCTATCGCTGTAACCCTGCATTTCCCATGGCTAACCCACCTAAGCTACACATCCCTGAACACTATGGGCAATTTAGCATGGCCAATCCACCTAACCTGCACATCTTTGGGCTGTGGGAGGAAACTGGAGCACCTGGAGGAAACCCACGCAGACACAGGGAGAACGTGCAGACTCCACACTCAAGGGTGGAATTGAACCCAGGTCCCTGGCGCTGTGAGACAGCAGTGCTAACCACTGAGCCACTGTGCCACCCATTTGTTTGTTCTCAGCAAGTTTGTTGTGCACTTCTTTATATCTAGTAATTTGATCACTGAGGCAAAGTAGTAATTACTTACAGTAGATACACTAGCTACTAAAAAAAAAGTTAGCTTTACAAGGAACACTAAAGATGAAAATACATCTTCCCTCCACCATAAGGTCAGGAGTGGGGATGTTCGCCGATGATTGCACAATGTTCAGACCATTCATAACTCCTCAGCTACTGAAGCAGTCCGTGTTCAAATGCAACAAGATCTGGACAATATCCAGGCTTGTGCGGACAAGTGGCAAGTGACATTCGTGCCACACAAATACCAGGCTGTGACCATCACCGATAAGAGACAATCTAATCACTGAACGTTGACATTCAATGCTGTTACCATCACTGAATCCTACACTATCAACATCCTTGGCATTACCATTGACCAGGAACTTAACTGGACCCACCACATAAATACAGCGGCTACAAGAAAGGTCAGACGCTAGGAATACTGACTCCCTGTAGGCTGTTGACCATCTGCAAGGCACAATTGAGGACTGTGATGGAATACTCCCTACTTGCCTGGATTGGTGCAGCTCCAACAACACACAAGAAGGGACAGACAATGAATGTTGGCCAGTCAGTGACGCCCATGTTCATGTGTGACTAAAAAAAATCCCTTCTTGAAAGTTGTTTGTAACTCACTTTTTTATGCAATGCAAACCAGATTGCAACAACTCACACTGAGTAAAAGACATTCTCAAGATTTCTCAAAACAATTCCCCAGTATTTCTGCCAATTATTTTATATAATTGTTTTTTGTCAGTCCTGTGTAAATGGTTTCTCCCCATTCACTCAACCAAAATTCCTCATGGTTTTGAGCCCTAACCTGTTATTTAATCTCCCCTTAATTTGCTGTATTTGAAGGAGAACAATCTCAGGTTCACCAACGATCCAAGACCCTTTAAATCCTATTATTCTGTTGGTAAATCTCCCCTATAGTCTAACCAAGGCCTTGTGGTGTATACTGTGCCTGACCTCTGTTGTATCTGACCTTTTCTTAACTGGTTGTAACTGAGCAAAACTTGGGATGTCTGATTGACATGGACAAGTTGGACTGAAGGGTCTGTTTCTGTGCTCTGTAACTCTATGACTCTATTAAAAACACCATTTCCAATGACTGATGACTCTTGCTTTAATGACCATAAATCTCGATCAGTGATGTTTGGTAAACAAGCCCTTTAGCATTTGCTAATTAAAAAATAAGTCACTGGAGCCATCCCAGTGAATGTTTGAGTGTGGAATTCTTCCATCAGGTTTGTGCCAGAAAAGCTCCATCACAACCTGCTCTAAGAAATCACTTCATCAACTAGTGTTTGGTAGAAAACCATTTACCAGTTGTGTTCTTTCCTTTTTGTAGTGGTGACTATTTGAACAATTACTTTGAGTTTGTTGGAGTGAAGAGTTGCCAGGAGATTCAGTCCATTTACATCATGATTTGGCTGGTAACCACACTCAATGTGTCTGCTTTTATTTTGGGAATTGCCACCTCTGCCATTCTTGGGAACTTCAAAAATATGGTAAGGCAAGGAACAATACTTCTTCCTTTCAGGTCTCAGTGATTGTTTTTATTGTGTGTGCTAAACCGCTGTGTAATTGCATAAAGCACATATCGAAGAAAGATCTTGCAGTTTTGTAGCATATTTTACCTCTTTAAATGTTTTTTTATTTATGCCCTCCTGCGTGCGATATGGCACTCCTGCCATGTCAACTGGGATGGATTCAAAACAGAAACAGTTGCTCAACACTGGGCACCCACAGAGCACTGTGAGCCATTAGAAGCATCGTATTCACCCACAGTCTGTAACCTCATGGACCAGCATCCCTCACTCTTGGGGCTTCAGCTCTGATTCAATGAAAAGTGCAGCAGGACATGCGAGGAGCAGGACCAGGCCTACCAAAATGGTAGAAACCTGGTAAAGACACAATACAGAAATATATGCATGCTAAACAGAGGAAGCAGCATGCAGTGCAGTAAAACAAAAATCAAACAATTGATCAGATCTAAGCTCTGCAGTCCTGCCACATCCAGTTGTGAATGGTGGTGGACAATTAAACAACTCACTGGAGGAGGAGGCTCCACAAATATCCCCATCCTCAATGATGGAAGAGCCCAGCACATCAGTGCAAAAGCTAAGGCTGAAGCTTTCACACCAATCTTCAGCCAAAAGTGCCAAGTGGATGATCCGTCGCACCCTCCTCCAGTGGTCCCCAGTATCACAGATACCAGTCTTCAGCCAATTCGATTCACTCCACGTGATATCAAGAAACAGCTAAAGGCTTGGCTACAGCAAAGGCTGTGGGCCCTGACAACATTCCAGCAACAGTACCAAAGATGTATGTTCCAGAACTTGCCGCTGCCTGGTGGTATAAAGTTCTCAGAGTCCCTCTTACAGAGGTGTCCTCTTGCAGCATGATGTGCTTAGGGAAACATGCTACACTGCATAGTGCCTGTGATTGAAAAGTACACACGTAAGCTGCAGGAGCTACAATAACATTGAATTCTTCACTGCCACAAGACCCACATTTCATCCTTATGTTATGGGAGCTGCCTTAGGCCTCACAGCCTGATAGTTGCAGATCACCAGCTGTCGCCATTTACTCTCAGTTAATCACCACCCATCATCAACAACCCTCTCTCCATCATAAGATCAGTGGGGACGCTTGTTGCTGCCAGAGCAGTGTTCAATATCATTCACAAATCCTCAGATATTGGAACAGTCTGTGCCCACATACAGAAGGACCCTGCACACCATTAACGTTTGGGTGGATAAGTAGCAAGTAACATTTACGTGATGCAAGTGCCAGGCAACAAAGACCTCCAACAGTAGAGAATCCAATCATTTTCCTTTGGAGTTCAAAAACACTACCATTGCTGAATTCCTCACTCTTAACATCTTGGGATTTATCACTGACCAGAAAAAGACCCATCCACATAAATACTTTGACTGCAAAAGCTGGTCAGAGGCTGGGAATTCTGTAGACCTAACTCACCTCTTGATTTCCCAAAGCTTGTCCACCATCCCAAAGCTGCAGATCAGGAGTGCAGTACAATACCGTCCCATTGGCTTGGATGAGTGCAACAACAATCAAGAAGGTCAAAACCGTCTGTGAGAAAGTAACCCACTTGATCACTTTCCAAACCCACAACCACTACCACTGAAAAGAACAAGGGCAGGAGATGCACGGGAACACCAGCCCCCTGCAAGTTCCCTTCCAAGCCACTCACCATCCCGATTTGGAAATATAATCGCCGTTCCTTTGGAATTCCCAAATAGCAGTATGTCTACCACACCACTTGGACTATGATGGTTCAAGAGGACACTCATTAACCGTTTTCCCAAGGGATATCAGCGACGGGAAATAAATGCTGGCCTAGTCAGTGAAACTCACACCTTGTGAAAGAATATAAAAAAGTACCTTTAGTTAATAATTGTACCCCGGTTCACACCAAGTCACCTTTCTTATACATAGAACATAGAACATTACAGCGCAGTACAGGCCCTTTGGCCCTCGATGTTGTGCCGCCCTGTGAAACTAATCTGAAGCCCATCTAACCTAAACTATCCCATTATCATCCATATGTTTATCCAATGACCATTTAAATGCTCTTAAAGTTGGCGAGTCTACTACTTTTGCAGGCAGGGCATTCCACGCCCTTACTACTCTCTGAGTAAAGAACCTACCTCTGACATCTGTCCTTTATCTATCACCCCTCAATTTAAAGCTATGTCCCCTCGTGCTAGCCACCACCATCCGAGGAAAAAGGCTCCCACTGTCCACCCTATCTAATCCTCTGATCATCTTGTATGTCTCTATTAAGTCACCTCTTAACCTTCTTCTCTCTAACGAAAACAGCCTCAAGTCCCTCAGCCTTTCCTCATAAGACCTTCCCTCCATACCAGGCAACATCCTGGTAAATCTCCTCTGCACCCTTTCCAATGCTTCCACATCCTTCCTATAATGCGGGTGACCAGAACTGTACGCAATACTCCAAGTGCGGCCGCACCAGCGTTTTGTACAGCTGCAACATGACCTCATGGCTCCGAAACTCAATCCCTCTACCAATAAAACTTAACACACCATACGCCTTCTTAACAACCCTATCAACCTGGGTGGCAACTTTCAGGGATCTATGCACATGGACACCGAGATCTCTCTGCTCATCCACACTACCAAGAATCTTACCATTAGCCCAGTACTCTGTATTCCTGTTACTCCTTCCAAAGTGAATCACCTCACACTTTTCCGCATTAAACTCCATTTGCCACCTCTCAGCCCAGCTCTGCAGCTTATCTATGTATGATGTATATACATCATGATTTTTCTATTTTTCTATGCAATATCAACATCAATGCCAAGCAAATAGAGCACTATGTAGCATTTGTCATTGAAATTCCTTCAGTTAGTCCCTGAAAAATTAACAAGTAATGTTGATTGGGTAAATCAACTGCATAAGATTAGAAACAGTTAATGTCAATGGTAGGAATTTATCCCAGTTTATTAGCTTTGTAAACTGAATGTTTTATTGCAGGAGCCAAGCAGGAACAAGACTGTTCAAGTATCCAATAAAGTCACATTCCATACTGGACAATGTTTAAAGCTAAAATTTCAATAAATAAGTTAAATTTTAAAGTATTTGAAGTACAGTAAAAAGCACTGAAAACAGCAGTATTAATAGACAATAATGTTTAACTTAATAATTCAAAGGGACATAAAAATGGATGTACTTTATGGAGCAAAAAGTCAGTGTATCATTTTCAATGTGATTGTGCTATTTATTGTAATATTTAGCAGACATAATTGATATTACATCCTGATTGCCGAATCTTTTTTCATTTGGCAATTATTTCCTTGAAGTTGATTGCATTTAGAAAAAAAAAAATTGCAGCATTTTACTGTGAACCTCTTTGCAATATAGGAAGAATATTATTTAAGCCAGTATGTTAACTGTTATGACCCTTACGTTACCAATTAAGATATTGCTTGCTTTGAAACTTTCTGCTTGTGCTTTTTCAAGGAGTCTCTCATTGGACCTGATGTTAGTGTCCAGCTATTGAACTTTCAAAATTCCAGGTGTAAGGCCAAAGAGCAGGCACAGAGCCAGCCCAGTATATCTCCCTCAGCACCTCTCCTTCTACAAGAAGAAGGTGGAGACACAATGCAGCAGGTGTGTTGTCTTTCTGATTTGTGCATTTAAAAGCTCGCATACTATTCCAAAGTGACTGCACCTGAGATCTACTGAAAGTTAGAAATAATTTATGATTTGACCTATTTCTGTTGAAGTCTCGGCTCATGCTGGATTAGTTGAATTCAGTAACACTTCACTACATCTGGGAATAGTCAGTGAAGAAAAAATATTTTCTTTTTCCATTCAAATACTGACATCAATTTAACTAGCCTTAAATGTTATGACCTTACAAGTGCTTATCCAAGTACTTTTTAAAGGTTGTGAGGTTTCCCTCCTCAACTACCCTCCCAGGCAGTGCATTCCAGATACCCGACCACTCTCTGGGAGATGAAGCTTTTCCTCATCTCCCCCCCAAACCTCCTGTCCTTCACCTTAAAATTATTCCCCCTTGTTATTGACCCTTCAACCATGGGCCCAGCTGTGCCCTATCCACCCTGTTCATGGCCCTCAATCTGATACACATTGATTAAGTCCCAGTCAGATGGTGCCTTGAGAGAAGGGAGGTGATGGCCTAGCAGTATTATCACTGGACTGTTAATCCAGAAACTCAGGTAATGTTCTGGGGATCCGGGTTTGAATCTTGCCATGGCAGATGGTGGAATTTGAATTCAGTAAAAATCTGGAATTAGGAATCTAATGATGACCGTGAGTCCATTGTCGATTGTCACAAAAACCATTTGGATTCACTAATGACCTTTAGGGAAGAAAACTGCCATCCGTACCCTGGTCTGACCTATATGTGACTCCAGACCGACAGCAATGTGGTTCACTCTTAACTGCCCTCTGGGATGGGCAATAAATGCTTGCTTGGCCAGTGATATCATCATCCTGTGAATGAATTTTGAAAAATTCAAGACCGCCTCTCTCAACTTACTCTCAATGTTTGAACTAAAAACTTCCAAATCTAAGTGGTCCAAGAGGATCATCCTGTCTCTGAACTTGTTTCAATGTAAATGGGACAGAAATCCAAATGTTCACATTTCTTAGTCTGTAACCTTTTTGTAAGGAATTGGAGTCTGGATCTTCACAAGACAAATTTACAAAATCAATTTCAAACATTTCTCTATTCTTAGTTCAGTGACATAACTGTGATAAAAGCTGACTGGTGGAGATCCATTTCTATAATTAAAAATGTAAGTTTGATTAGAAGAGGAGTTTGAAATCATTGCAATTAACATTTATAGAATTATGGATAATTGTCCTTTAAGGAACACAAGTATGGATCATTACTGTTGTCTCTCTCTCTCTCCCCAGAGGCCCTCTGTTCATTACATGTCAGTGCCAGCAACTACATCTTTAACATGTTGTAATCATAGCCACATGAAGATAAATAACAACCCTCCACCATTTGCTCCATTGTATAACTTCTTGCCAGAAAAGCCACTGGGATATCTGATATGATCAGTGATTAGCCACTTGTGTGTACAGTGAACAGCCCCAGCCTACAGAGAGGCTTAAAAAGATTAGACCAAAGAGATGACTTTGATGGATATGAAAACTAGTGACTGTGAGTCAGCAGCAACTTTTAAATCCTTCCAGATTCTTATTTCCTTTGTCTTCAATTTTCATTGACTGCAATGTTTAATGGCTATTAGAATCGCCTGTTTGACAAAACCATCTTCCATTGTTTCACCAGAAGCATATATATTCCACAAAATCTCTTTGAATGAGTTAAAAGATTTAAAGCTACCCTATTGATTTATTTAGCCATTGTGTCATCAGTATGTCACACATACGATGTAGACAATGCATAATATTGAAGTATTGGCTCTCTGTTACGACATTGTAAATATTTATATCATGCAAACGGTATTTTCAAAAGATCAGCTGTTTAATAGAATCCATTTACAAAGAAAGTGCCTGTAATATCACAGGACGGAACAATATTCCTGTACTCCTATTTGCAGTTATCATCTGTAGCTAATCCAATTTCAACCCACAAGGAACAGTGCAAAAGAATCATATGGACCAATAGGACTTCAGTTTCTGAAGTACCATCAACCTCATTGTGCTGGTCTGAATGGACTGTATGTTTCAGGATTAATCTTTCTAGTTTCCAGTTGTCTTCTCCACCTGAATCCTTTATAGACCTGAAGCTATAAAATACCGCTGCTTTTGTCTGAAATCACACCAACTTGCTGCTGCTGTACTCATGTGTATTGGCTTCAATTCCACTCTCCTCCAATTGTCTTGAATTTCCCTATTGCCATAATCTCCTTCAGCCCTAAAGCCCTCTCAGTCGCTGTGTTCTTCCAACTCTAGCCTTTTGTGCATCTCCCAGTTCACCCTACAATTACTGGCCATTCCGTCAATTCTACACTCTGAAGAGCCTTGCTAAAATGCTCCCTTTGCTTTGCAATGTAATCCAATCCAGAATCACAGCACACAAGGAGATAAAGAGGTTTGCTGTGTCTGACATTCTAAATCAGCAACACATCTAGTGGCATTACCTCACCCTCTCCCTATTCATTGTGGCGACAGGTTCATTCAAGACTTTGAAAAGAGAATTCGATTATTATCTAAGAAAGAAGAATCCACAAGTGAACAGGAAGAAGATATTGTTCGACACTGCATTCCAGACCCTCAGCAGTCCCTGCATGAAAGTTCTTCCCTATGTTGTCATTACATCTTTTGCAAATGATGTTGAATCTGTTCCCCTGGGTTCTTGGCCATTTCACTACTGTGAACAGTTTCTCCCTATCCCCTTTGTCCAGGCCCTTCACAATCTTGAACCCCTCCATGAAATGTCCTCTCAACTCCCCTCTCCGGGGCAAACTGGCCTGAATTTCCCAATCTAGCTATGCAATTGAACCTCTTCATCACTGGAATAATTGTTTTGAATCTTTTATGCACTGTCTCCAGTGCCCCTACACTGTTCTGAAAATGTGATGGTTAAAACCAGACACAATACCCAATTAAGGCTGGACCCTGATTTGTATAAATTTGACATATCTTCCTCACTCTTGTTCTGTGTCCTGACGATCTTATCTCTCAGGATGTGGAAACAAATACTTCTCACCTCAAGTCAAATCCTAGGTCTTTATCTTAGAAAAATCTGGCATCAATTTCATGCAAGACTAACAGGAAGTGGGCTGTGCAGCACCTTCGGTGGATCACGTGACTCGCGTTAAGAAGGTAAGTATTTCAGCACAAGGTGCAGAGCTGGATGAACACAGCAGGCCAAGCAGCATCATAGGAGCAGAAGGGCTGACATTTTGGCCCTAGACCCTTCATCAGAAATGGGGATGGGGATGGGGATGGGGATGGGGATGGGGATGGGGATGGGGATGGGGATGGGGATGGGGGTGGGGGTGGGGGAGGGGGTGGGGGTGGGGCTTGAGGTGGGAGGAGGGGATAGGTGGGAGGAAGAACAGATTAGGGAGGCGGGGACGAGCTGGACTGGTTTTGGGATGCGGTAGGGGGAGGGGAGATTTTGAAGCTTGTGAAATCCGGTCACATTTGGACATTGTTTTTCCGCCGCCTCCGCCTCCACACTTACTTCTTCAACCGTGAACCTAACCCTCCCTCTACTGACCCCTTCTCCAGCCTCCAACACACCCCATCCTCCTGGACACCACCCCAAGGCCTCTTACCCTCCCTTGACCTCTTCATCTCCAACTGCCGTTGAGACATCAATCGCCTCAACCTCTCCACCCCTCTCACCCACTCCAACCTCTCCCCCGCAGAACGTGCAGCCCTCCGCTCCCTCCGCTCCAATCCCAACCTCACCATAAAACCTGTGGACAAGGGAGGCGCAGTTGTAGTATGGTGCACTGACCTCTACATCGCCGAGGCCAGACGCCAACTCTCCGACACCTCCTCCTACCGCCCCCTTGATCATGACCCCAACCCCGAGCACCAAGCCATCATCTCCCAAACCATCCACAACCTCATCACCTCAGGTGACCTCCCACCCATGGCCTCCAACCACATCGTTCCCCAACCCCGCACCGTCCGCTTCTATCTCCTTCCCAAAATCCACAAACCTGAATGCCCTAGTCGACCCATTGTCTCCGCCTGCTGCTGCCCCACCGAACTTATCTCCAACTATCTGGACTCCATTTTCTCCCCCGTGGTCCAGGAACTCCCTACCTACATCCGTGACACCACCCACGCCCTCCACCTCCTCCAGAACTTCCAATTCCCCGGTCCCCAACACCTCATCTTTACCATGGACGTCCAGTCCCTATACACCTGCATTCCCCATACAGATGGCCTAAATGCCCTCTGCTTCTTCCTGTCCCGCAGGCCCAACCAGTCCCCCTCCACTGACACGCTCATCCGCTTGGCCGAACTCGTCCTCACCCTCAACAACTTCTCTTTCAATTCCTCCCACTTCCTACAGACAAAGGGGGTAGCCAGGGGTACCCGCATGGGCCCAAGCTATGCCTGCCTCTTTGTAGGTTACGTGGAACAATCCCTCTTCCGTACCTAAACTGGCCCTAAACCCCACCTCTTCCTCCGTTACATTGATGACTGTATCGGCACCGCCTCGTGCCCCCACGAGGAGCTCGAACAGTTCATCCACTTCACCAACACCTTCCACCCCAACTTTAAGTTCACCTGGACCATCTCTAATACCTCTCTCCCCTTCCTGGACCTCTCTGTCTCCATCTCCGGCAACCACCTGGAAACCGATATTCATTTCAAGCCCACCGACTCCCACAGCTACCTAGAATACACCTCCTCCCCCCCACCTTCCTGCAAAAACGCCATCCCCTATTCCCAATTCCTTCGCCTCCGCCGCATCTGCTCCCAGGATGAGGCATTCCACTCCCGTACATCTCAGATGTCCTCGTTTTTCAAGGACCGCAACTTCCCCCCTTCAGTGGTCGAGAACACCCTCGACCGTGTCTCCCGCATTTCCCGCAACTCATCCCTCACACCCCGTCCCCGCAATAACAACCAAAAAAGAATCCCCCTCGTCCTCACGTACCACCCCACCAACCTCCGGATCCAACGCGTCATCCTCCGACACTTCCGCCACCTGCAATCCGACCCCACCACCAAAGACATCTTTCCCTGCCCACCCTTATCTGCTTTCCGGAGGGACAACTCTCTCTGTGACTCCCTTGTCTGCTCCGCACTCCCCTCCAGCCCTACCACACCCGGCACTTTTCCCTGCAACCGCAGGAAGTGCTACACCTACCCCCATACCTCCTCCCTCACCCCCATCCCAGGCCCCAAGAAGACTTTCCACATCAAGCAGATGTTCACCTGCACATCTGCCAATGTGGTATACTGCATCCGCTGTACCCGGTGTGGCTTCCTCTACAT